TTACCCCACTTACTTTGTCTGTCTGCCTTGAGAAGCGCAGCAAACATGAGGCCTGGTGGTGAGGGGCAGGGGTCCATCCCCCAGGTCCCTTGCTCACCCTAGGGGTGACCCCATGGTGGCAATGACAGGCTGGTGGCGTTTCTTGGGAGCTTCTTCCCCAAAAAGAGCAAAATCGCAGAGGAACTTTGCTGTCTCTGGATGAGGATGGTGGGATGAGACGCTACAGGGTGGGATGCACATGGGGCTCTGTGCTTCCCTTCTGCAACTTTGCCTTTGGAAAGGTGATGACAAGAAACCTGCTGATCCATAAAGGCAGTGGTGGGGATAGCTCATTACCCAGGAACATGAACAGTCAGCGCTGTAGGAGCCAGTTCTGCTGATACTTCACCGGATCATCAACTTTAATTCACCCTTTTGACGATCAAGGTTCTGCTGGGTCAAGGCCTTCTCCCAGCCCAGGCTAATTCACAGGCTTTGCACTAAAACCTTATTTATTCTGGCCACTTCTCCTCTCTGGGAGTGCGGGAAGGGGGGAGGCCATGGGGCTGTGGTTTAAGCCCCTGGCTGGTGGGAGCGGTGGGAGCAGCAGCAATTGCAGGAAGGAACAGGAGGAAAAGCCCTGGGAGAAACAATAGGTTACAACACAAACACCACGGGGAGCTCAAAGCAGGGCTGGTGGGGAGGGTGATGCTCAGGGGGGGACCTTTGAGTCCTGAAAGCAGGAGGGTCCAGCCTGGATGGGTAGAGCCATGTCCCTCCTGCAAGGACAAGGTTGGGTGCCATGCCCTGTGCTGGGGCTTTGCTGTTTGGCTCTGGTGGCTCTTGGCATTAACCCACTGTGACTGTTCCCAGGGGAGCGGTTGAATCCATTTAACACAGGGCTCTAAGTTCCTGGTGGAGGCCGGATCCTGACCATGGCAAACGATGCTGCTGGTTGTTGCAATTAACTTTTTAAAGCGTGCTGGGCACCGATTTAATCAGAGAAATACCAGTGGGAGAGCCCAGGCACCTCACTGGTATTTATGGCTTTGATTAATTGTAGTAACACTACTGTGGGCTTGATTGTAGGGTTCTGTGCATGTACCTCCCAGTGCTGGTGCTGAGTGTACAGGACAGGATGGCTGTGCTGCACAGGGTTAAATCACTGCATGGCAGAGTCCATTTCCTCCCTTAGCCCCACATCCGAGGGGGAATGGCCTTTTGTTTAATCTCAGCTTTAACGTTACAGCTCTGTCCCTAAACCTGTGTGGAGGGAGCTGCCTGTGTGCTGTGGGACACTGAACTGCTGCTTCTCCCCAGATCCCCCTGGACATCGGCTGTGCCAAAGAGGAGAGGTGAGAGGTTGTGGCACTAGTTCCACAGTGACATCGGTGGGGCCCGTGGTGAGTTGCTTGCTGGGTTTTCGGTCCAATCTGGGTGCTGAGGAGGAAGGAAGAGCAGAGCCATAATACTCTGCAGACTGGAAGGGCTCAGAGCTGTTAATGGGCTGTTAATAAGTAGCATCCTCGTTTTAATCCTGGAAGTAGGCGGGTAAGAGGCGTTTTTTGCAGGATGAGGCTGCAGCCACATCCTGGAGGAGACAAGGGGCTGAATCACGTCCTGCAGCTCAGGGAGCTGATGGCTCTTGGCTGGGAGGTGGAAATCCAGTGAGGAGCCACAGGAGCATCTTCCTCCGTGGCCTGCAACAGGGTTCCCATGGGATTCCCTATACGTGTGTGCTCCATCCCCTGTCTTCATGGCCCCTCGTGCCCGCGCAGGTTGGGGGCTGGTGTCCCTCCTGTGGGCTGCGCTCGCTGTGATTAAAACCATGTGTTTGCTCAGCAGAAACACAGGGAAGCATCACCACCAGACAGCCCCGGACTGGCCAGGCTGCGGTTTGCGTTCAGATAATGGCACTTTCCAATTTGTCCAACTACTTGGATGATGTTGATAACTACAGTGACTACCCAGATTACACCTATGAGGAGACCAGCAGCGTGTGGACAGACCCATCCCACGACCCAAAGGACATTGCAAGGATCCTCTCTGTCATCATCTACAGCGTGTCCTGCGTATTGGGCATCCTGGGGAACGGCCTTGTCATTGCAATCATAACTCTGAAGATGAAGAAGTCAGTCAATGCCATCTGGTTCCTCAACCTGGCCGTCGCTGACTTCCTCTTCAACATCTTCCTGCCCATAAACATTGCTTACACCGCCATGAGGTACAACTGGATCTTCGGGACAGTCATGTGCAAGCTCAACTCCTTCCTCCTCATCCTGAACATGTACACCAGCGTCCTTCTGCTCACCACCATCAGCTTTGATCGCTACGTGTCAGTGGTCTTCCCCGTCTGGTCTCAAAACCATCGGTCGACCAACTTAGCCTATTTAGTTTGCTTGATCATCTGGACCATCGGCATCATTATGAGCTGCCCATCTCTTGTCTTCCGAGACACTGCGCAAGCCCATAACTCCGTGATCTGTTTCAGCAACTTTTCCCTCTCCAGGAATAGGTCTTACCAAGCCCTGGCGCTGATGAGGCACCGAACGGTGAACATCACCAGGTTCCTCGCAGGCTACGTCCTCCCCATAACCATCATCACGTTCTGCTACATCGCCATCGTCTTCAATCTGCGTCGGAACCGCCTCGCCAAGTCCAAAAAGCCCTTCAAGATCATCGTCACCATTATAGTCACCTTCTTCCTTTGCTGGAGTCCCTACCACCACAGAGCCCGACATGGTCCCGCGCTCCGTGTTCGAGATCAGCATCCCCATAACCACGGCGCTCGCTGCCTCCAACAGCTGCATGAACCCGGTCCTCTACGTCTTCATGGGCCAGGACTTCAAGAAGTTTAAGGTCACCATCCTTTCCAGGCTGGTGAATGCCCTCAGCGAGGAGACAGGACACTCCAGCATCGTCCACAGGAGCTTCTCCAAGATGTCCTCAATGACTGAGAAGGAGACAACAGTCCTCTAAACTCAACCTGGATGCCCACAGGAGGGCCATAGCCCTCTGCTGTTGCCCATGCTCACCACTGTGATGGTGGCCACCCTTGCAATGGCCCCTTGTTAGGGACAAGCATGGTCCAGCGCTGTCCTGTAAGTGTATTCTTTGACTGGTCTTGCTGCCTGGGGGCTGGCAGGGGTTGGAGCTGCCACTTCTTGTACATGGAGAAGATAGAACCACCCGTCATCTTTCATGGTAATTGCAAAGATCGTTGCACCAAACTACTTAAGGAAAGATTTTGGGTCATTCCTGTCTACACTATGCATTGTCTGGGCTGGCAAAGGACTCCCTGACAATTCCA